ACCAAAAAAAAAATATATTCTTCCAACTTCTTTTTGTAATTAGATTTTCTCTTATATTCCGGAGTAGTATTTCTTTTTGGGCTTGTCGGTCAATGATCTCAATCATCATAATAACCAGAGAAAGGAGAGTGAAAAAAAATGAAACCATCCGATCATCAGAATCCGGAACTCCGATCTGATATTTTTATGCCGTAATTATTACTCCGGCCACTTTATAAAAAAATCATCAGTTCAATCAATGTAGAAACAAACTGCTTTACCAACCCAACACCGTCCGGCATTATGGCTACATGCCTACGTGTACCCTCTTTTTTCCTTCTCCATTTTTACATTTTTTTCCAAAAGTGCTTTTCAAATTCCTGAATTTTTATTTTAAGTGCTTATTAGGTTCATATATAGTTTTGAAAATTCTACATTGGTTTTTAAGACTATGTTTGCTTCAAGGAATTAGGAAAAAAAGAGAAAAGAAAAGAATTTTCTCTCATTTTCCTCACCAAAATGGGAAAATTTTGGTTTTCCCTCCACTTAGTACATTTTATCTTCTCATTTTGTTTTCCTTCCACTTTTCCTTTCTTTTCCTCTCTAACTAAAAAAGAAAAACTTATCCACTTCATTTTCTTTTCCTTTCCCTTTCAAATTTCTTGAACCAAACATAGTGTATGTAAACTATTTTAGTACTTATCAAATCCCTATACTTTTTATTGATGTTTTAGTGGTCGATCAATTCAGTGACATTTTTCAGACCAAGTCTCTTAAAATTATTGTAAAAATAATGTTATATCATAAAATTAAAAACAGCTAGTGCAAGTTGATCAAACAGTTTTTTGAAGACTTGGTTTGGAAAATGCCTGCCAAGAGATTATTAATGAACTATGTAGATATGTTTCTGGTAAGACATAAAAATAATTTAGGAACCTATGAAGCACTTTTGAAAATATATAGGGACTTCCTAAGCACATAAAATAATTTATAGACTTCGAACGCACTTTGGAAAGAAATATAGGAACCTTGTAAGCACTTTACCCGGATTAGTTTTAAAGTCTAAAGATAAGTTTATTTTGGTATGCATTTTGGTTCAAGGAATTTTGGAGGACATATAAAAGAACATATTATGGAAATTGGAAAATAATTTTTCTTATTTAGTTAGAAAAGATCTTTTTCTATTCCTTTTCTTTTTAATTTTTTGAACCAGCTGTTATAGTCTCCATAGTGGCATGTTGTTTTACTTTTAATAAAAGCTTAAAGCTTAGATACTATTTTAAATTTAACTAATAAAAATTTGAGTATGATGTTTGAATACTGCTTTACTTCTAATCAACGTTTAGTGTTAGAAATGTGAATACTTCTTTAATTTTAACTAAAATTTAGAGTCAAAAGTTTAAATATCTTTATTTAAAAATTAAATAAATTAAAACAACCAAAAATATTGTGGTCCAGTGACGTATATATATAACTCTAGTTTTCTAAAATGAGAGTTCAGATATTTCGAATCCCACTAGAATATTGACTCTTTATGAAAAAAGTTGAAGGTCATATACTCATATATATTCAAAAAAATTACATTCCTTTTATTTAGCATGTTACAAAGATAAATTTACTTTAATTTCTCTTTTAACGACGATTATGGAAATTGTTTACACTATAATTTTTTTAATTTCAGTATCATTATGAAGGGAATAATTATGAAGTGTACAATTTTCTACTTCTCAAGTTTCATCCAAAAAAATGTAATTGGGTATCACTCTTTTTTTTTAAATTAACTCTTAAATAAATTTCAATTACATTTTTTCGGCATCTTTTTGCTAGCTAAAGTCATACTCCGTATTATCTTTATCCTAATTAAAATGAAACTAATTTACAGTTTCATTTCATGAGCTTGAAGAAAAATACTCACCTCGTTTTAAAAAACAAATCTTTTTTTGATTTATAGAAAGTTTAAGAGAGTTTATTTTGTAGTTGACTTTCAATTCTACTTTTGCTCTTGGATGTGATGAGTAAAAATACGATAGGTAGGTTAAATTAATAGTGATTAAATATGATGTGATACATTGTGTAAAATTAGTAAGGGTAAAATAGATTTTTTTAATGCAAAATGAAAGTGTTTTATGGGTAAGGAATGCAATTTTATTTTTTTTGAAACATTTAGGGTCTGTTTCATACACGAAATTGATAGAATTGAAATTAAATTGGAGTTAAAGTTCTATGGAATTAATTTGGATGGAATTGAATTCTCCAATTTCAATTTATTTTTGGAACTACCAATTCAAAATCCAAGAATATTTTTTCTGTTGCCAATCCAAAAATAATTTTATTAAATTTATGTAAATAATTTTATTTAATTATAGGTCAAATGTTTAAAATAGTTGACTGTAAAAAGTCAAAATTGGACAAAATATTCAAATACAAAGGTAGTACTTTCAGAATTAAAAATGGTTTTAAAAAAGTAAACTCTCCAAATAGTCCTTTATAACGAGAGAATTTCTATATTTAGTCCATATTATCAAATACTCCCTCCGTCCCAAAAAGATTTACACATTTCAAAAAAATTGCGTCCCACAATACCTTACCCATTTCTATTAAAAAACCACTTTTACTCCTTACTTTTTCAAACCCTACCTATCACATCATACCTTTTTTTCCTAATAATTTACACATCATATCATACTTTTACCCATCACATCAAGGGTATTTTTGGAAAGTCAACACAAAATTATTCCTTCCTTAATTTCTACTTTAGTTAAAATGTACCCATCTTTATGGGACGGAGGGAGTATTATTTTTGTAGTCCTTATTGATTGGGTATCATTCCATGTTTGGTCCTTGTCTAACGGCGTGGAGACAGAAATATAGATGGAGGACTAAACTAATACTCAATTAATAAGAACTGTCAACATAATTTTTGATAAATGTGGATTAAATATGAAAATCCCTCATTTAAAAAGGACTATTTAAAGAATTTACTCAAAAAATTAAGTGACATATTTACTTTACTTTATTCAATAATTAATAAAAACAGGTATCCAAATAAAAATTACTACTCCCTCCGTTCTCAAAAACTCTTCCTCTTTCATTTTTTTACTTCCAATAAAACACTTCCACTTTCTATTAAAAAACCACTTTATCTTTACTTTTTCATCCCCTACCTATCACATCATACTTTTTCTCTAATACCCAATCCATCACATTTTACTTTTATCCATCACATCAAGGGCAAAATTGGAAGTCAACTACAATTTAATACTTTTTTATTTTTACACAAAGTCAAAATAGGAACACTTTTATAGAACGGATGGAGTAGAATCTAGAATAGTGAAGAGGACATTAAATTAGAGAGCGAATGAGTATCACATACTCCGTGTGGAATAATCTACATACACCATCCTTTAATAATTATTTAAAGCGAGTTGTACCAAAAAAATACTCCCTCCGTCCCAGAAAAATTGAAATTTTGATTTTGAAGAGCAATTTAAAAGAGTATATTTTGGTATTGAATTTCCAAAAATGTCCTTTGATGTGATGTGTAAAAGTATGATTTGATGGATATATTACTCCCGCATTTCCACAAAACCCTTCTGGTTTTGACTTTGGAGAAATATAAGGAAAGTGTAATTTTGGTTGACTTTCCAATTTTGCCCCTGATGTGATGGGAAAAAGTAAGATGTGATAGTTTGGTTATTAGTGAAAAAGTATGATGTGATAGGTAGGGTATGAAAAAGTAGTGGTAAAAGTGGTTTTTTAATAGAAAGTGGAAATGTTTTGTGGAAAGCAAAAAAAACGAAAGAGGAAGAATTTTGTGGAACGGAGGGAGTATTAGTAAAAAGATATGATGTGATAGGTAGGGTATGAAAAAGTAAGGGGTAAAAGTGACTTTTTAATAGAAATGAGAAGTGTTTTTAGGGACGGATAAAAAAAGACAGAAGAAAGGTTTTCAGGAACGGGGAGACGGGGAGAGTATATATTCCTCTAACTTCTTTTTGTAATTAAATTCTCTCTTATATTTCGGACTAGTATTTCTTTTTGGGCTTCTGGGTCAATGATCTCAATCATCTTAACCAGAGAAAGGAGAGTGAAAAGAATGAAACCATCCGATCGGAATCCGGAACTCCTATCTGATATTTTTATACTCTAATTATTACTCCAGTTTTTATGAAAAATCATCAGTTCAACATAGAAACAAACTCGTTTACCAACCCAACACCGTCGGGTGTTATGGCTACATGCCTACATGTACCGTCTTTTTTTTCCTTCTCAAAACTCTATAAAACAATCAAATTACTAAATAAAGGAAATAAATAAAATTTGACTCTACAAATGAATGAAATGATGTAACTATTATCTAATTTAGGATAGAAAGAGTAAGGGCCTGTTTGGAAATAGCGTTAGAGATTAGCGTTAGCGTTTTGAAAAGGCTATCTACGGCCAACGTTTAGCGTTAACGTTTTCAAAGTAATCTGCACCGTTAAAATTTTATCCAAAACACTAACGCTAATCTCTAACGCTATTTCCAAACCGGCCCTAACTCAATACAAGGGATGTGGTGGGGTGGGGCCGTGGGGGTGGGGGGTCAAAGGCGCATAGAAATCCCAAACATGCGTATATCGTTCGTACAGTCGAATAGTAAGAAACATTTCAACACCGCCATAATTTTTTTCTACATATAATGCATGCACCGGTCGGGAACAGGAAACTGCTAGCTTTTGCTTCATGCAACCCGGCCGGCCGGTGACAAGATAACATGCGCCCGAACGAGCTATTAACACATATTAAACAGTAGAGTGCCCAACGACCAAGTTCAACCAAACAAAAAAAAACTCGAATTCCCTAACATGGTATCAAAATCTTGTCAATTATCTAATTTTGGTCCGTTCAAAATTTGTCTCTATGCTAACATGAACTAGCTAGCAATTGTGCTCTGATCCAATCAACACACAGACATAAACGGGAAGGGAGATGAGAAATTAAATAATACAGCAAAGGATCGAATCGAAGAGGAAGCCAACCTAAAGGGCAGTGCGGTAGTCGGGTTAAGCGGTTCGGTCGAAAAGTTCGATTGGGAACCAGAGCTTGATCGCCTTTTGATTCAGCAGTTTCTGAATCCCAAAATTCAGCCGAGAGAGACGGTCATTTAATTTAAGAGAGAGAGAGAGAGAGAGTGAGGGAAGGAGAGTGGTGAAGAAAGGGAAGTGGGGAGGGTTTATATAATGATATGATTGGGAGGGGGGATGGGGGTGGCCACGGAGAGAAGAAGCTATTAGAATCTTTAAGGGTCCGTTTGGTATAAGGAATTGGTGAAATTGGATTTGAATTGGAATTGAAATTTCATGTGATTCAATTCCATAAAATTGAATTCTGTCAATTTCAATTCATTTTTCGCACTATCAATTCCAAATCCACATAATTTTTGTGCTACCAAACACCAGAATTGGAATTGAAGTCCACAATTCCAATTCCATATTTGAATTTCATGTACCAAACGGGACCTAATGGAATTTCAATTTCTTTGGCAATAAAATAAGGACCTCCAAACCTTGTGTTATCTCTGTCATTCTTAATTTAAATTTCATGACACTTAAAGATAATGTATTTTGATATTGAGTTTTCAAAAAATACTCTTAGATAAAATGAGTAAAAGTAAAGTACAATGAGAAAATCAATAGTTAATAAAATATGTTTAGTGGGTTCCTATATTTTCCTTCATTCTCTTCATTACTTTATCATCTTTTCTCAATCTTTCTCTTCCCCTTAAAGATGCTCTTAGTTGTGTATCCAGTTTTACCGGTTAAAGTCGCGATCGGTATCTTTCCCATTTTAGACCAAAATAGACCGAACTTTACTGGGTCTAAACATATGGACCTAAATTCAAACTGGTTATTAGATTTTGATCCAACCAAAAATTGGTTATTTTTGCTTGAGTCAGTTTGGGTTACTGATCCAACCCTTGATATTAAGCTATTCTTGCTTTACTACCCCTTCATGTCTAAAATAAGTTCTTGAAAGTAAAACTCTATGGTACTATATATGTTAGGTAGTTCATATACAGAAGAGAGAAAAATTAATGTGAATCATTCCTTTTTCAAAATGCAATGATAAATTCTTTTTTGGACAATTAAGAGCCTATTTTTTGTATTAAACTTTTAACTTCTAGTTTTTTTCAATTCCTTTCCGTTTTTTCAGTTACTTCTAGTTTTTTTTAGTTTCTTCTAGTTCTTCATGTTTTAGTTTTTCTGTTGCTTCCCATTTCTTCAATCCCTATTCTTTCCTGTTTTTCCAACCTAACTATTCCATTTTTTCAAACTCTGTCTAGTTTCCTCAATTAATGACACTAAAATGATGTATTTTTCATGTGATTATTATTGTTGTTATTATCATTACTAATATTATTATTATCATCATTATTATTATTATTTCTATTATTATTATTATTATTATTATTGTTGTTGTTGTTGTTGTTATTGTTGTTGTTGTTATTGTTGTTGTTGTTGTTGTTGTCATCATCATCATCATCATCATCATCACAGAATGGTTTTAGAGCCACTAGCACTAGTTGATGTTGTGGTGCCACTTCCTTTTTGGGGAACTCTAATCGCAGAATTATTGGTACCTACCCACTAACCCCCTAATAAAGCCTCCCATCCTGCCCCAATCTGATTTCACCCTAACCCCTTTAATTTCATCTCCTAATTTTAGTTGAATTTGGGATAAGAGGAGGATAATGATATACACATGGACCTCTCATTCAGACTATTTTTTTGGTATTACTCCCAAACTCATTTAAGGGGAGCATAATGATATGTGACCGGTGAAATTCAATTTGCACCTTGGAGGGGTGAATAAGGCATTATGAGTATTTAAAAAGTTATTCGACTCTGCCTTTTATTTGTGCTTTCCTAGCATTGTTTTACTTGAAAAGGTGATTGCGTTGAAAATAAAATAAGGAATAAAAAACACAATGAAGTATAATGTAAAGTATGTGCATTGTATTTTATACTAGTCTGGTTATCACTCACTCTAGTAACTTAAGGCTCCTTTTCAAGGACTTTCGAATCTACTGAAACTCTTGATTGTCTCAATGCAGTCCCCACAATGAACCAAGTTTTGGCAAACAAAGCATTGCCAGTAGATTTTGTACTAGATCGATGTTAAGAAATCATAATATTTAATATTGCTTGGGGTAGATTTTGTATTTTTAGTCATCTTTTGTTATTGTATTCTATTCCTAGTCGGGGTCTTCATCCATTCTATATATACTCTACCATGTGTTCTATTATTCACTCTATGTGTAATATAATTATTCTAGTATTCTATCATGGTATCGAAGCTTCATCCAAGGACTTGCAAACTTTAGTTTTGACTTTTTGTAGCTGCTCTCTCTGTCTCAACAGTTCCATGCTCGACGGATACTTGATGACTTTGTCACTTTATCTTCATCACTCGACGTTTCTTCATCATCTTCACCTATTGCTGCCGATGCTCTGCTTCATTGATGATCGAATTGTTTTCACCAGAATTTGTTTCAGGGGGTATGTCGTAGTCGCTCTATCAAAAAGGAAATGTCTTTGCCCTTCTTCTAGAAGATTTTCATTCTACACAAGTCAACCATCCCCAATCATCGATGTAAGACAACCAAATTTGTTGAAGTCATTTACTCTATTTGTGCACGACAATTTGGAGTGTGTTAATTAATTAGCTATTGCTGATCGTGGTCATATTGAATTGGTTAATTTGGGTGTTATTTTTAATTTAGTTTCTAATTAATTTGAGTGAAAAAGATTTCACCCCAGATCGATTGTTCGTCCATCATGACAACCAACGGGAATGATCCGTTTGATTCTTTCCTGGCGAGCTGAGGTTGTTTCTTCGCAATCTTCATTGGCTCGTTCCGGTAATAGAATTAGAGGACAATAATTAACTCTCATGGTCCTCCATTGTGAAGGCTACCCTTATCGCACACCGTCCCCTAGTATATGTTGATGGAACCAAAGGACCACCATCGCCAATTATTCTTTTTGAAAAAGTCACTGCCACAAATACAAGGCCGGTCATGAAAGAAAATAGTAAAATTTGTTGCCACTAGGACTAAAAGCCACTACTTTTCCCTAAATAAGACTCTTTACTTTTATTTCCTTTTTCTAAGACTAAAATTTGATCATGTGTCCATATTTGCCCTTATAATGTTATCACGCGCTAGTACACATATTGTCCTTCCATATTTAATTTTTATGTTCTTTACATATTTAGAGATAATACCAACCATTAAATTCTCCTATTTTTTAGGATGCAATTATTACATTTTCTATCCTATTAACCGTCATTTCTTTTTTGCTTCATCTCCAAATTCTTAACATGTTGTTTACAATCACTGCTTTGTCTCTAATCTTTACTACTAATCTGCGATCAAAGTCTGTGATTTTTTGTATTTTTATTTTTATCAGTGACTGTTCGGCCGGGTCTTAGGGGGCCCTCGGGGATGCGGCTCATACTTTTTTTACATTATTAAAATATACTACGTACTTTGTATATTTTTTCATTTTTGAAATCAACTAATATTTTTTGTATTTTTATTTTTCTTGGTACGAACCATTTAAGAATAACTTATTGAACAAGTAAAACTTGCAAATTATGTCCTTAAAAGACTAACAATGACGGAAAAAGGTAATATAAAATGTCCAAAACTTAAAACTATTCAACAAAGCATTGACGAAAAGTAAAAACACTAGTTCATAAAGACTTAATAGTAAATTTGAAGCTAAAGGCTTAACCCCAATAACGATGAATTTAACAAAATATTTATCAAACAAAGCATTAAATAAAATACCCATTCACAAAGACTTAATGACCAACAAATTTTGATCCAATTGCACTACAAACACTTGATTCTTGGATTTTTCTTAGTGAAGATCGTATATATTTCCATTTTTAAAAGTGAAATTTGTACTAAATAGGACTAAAACATAAGTCATTTCCCAATGTAGGACTTAAAATTTTTTATTTTCTAAATAAGACTTAATAATGTCCAAAAGGGAAGGAATAATGTCCAGTAATGATGGACATTTACTTGAATAATGACTAATTGATAATGACCAAAGGTCCTACCTTGGAAAATAAAAACATATGATCCTATATTGAGAAAGTCATTATGTTTTAGTCCTACAAGAGAAATTTACCTATATAAAACTAAAACATAATGACTTTGTCAATATAGGACCATATATTTTCTATTTCCAATGTAGAATCATTAGTCATTATTCAAGTAAATGTCCACCATCACTAGACATTATTAAGTACTATTTAGGGAATAAAAAAGTTTAAGCCTTACATTAAAAAATGACTTATGTTTTAGTCATATTTAGTACGGAGTACAAATTTTTCCGATCCTACGAATTCCTGGCCTAGACCTTCACGGTGTATTGAATGTCAATATTATAAAAACTACTCCCTCCGTCCCAAAATATTTGTCACACTTGCTTTTTCATCAATCACGGGAACTTTTGTTTATTTCTACGTTTTCAATGATTATTTGATAAAATAAAATATTCTTGACACCTCTTATTTCGAAGAACTTTTCATGTATTTTTTGATATGTAAATTTTATTTTTTATTTTTATACCAATATGTAAATAAAATGAATTGAGAAAACTTGATATTTTGCCTCAAGAATACAAGTATGACAAATATTTAGGGACGAAAGGAGTAATTTCTTTACTTTTGCTCCAAATTGAAACAAGCTATTATAATGACCATTGATTGATGCCGGCTGAAAGAATTGGTTATTCAAGGGAAGAATTACCTAATTATATTGGGATTCCATCCTTTTTGCCGGCGAAATGTGTAAGCGAGTGGCCAGAGATATGATTGAATTGGTGCCTGAGGTTATTTCGGTCATTTACGACCGGCAAACGTATAACCACATGGGACCAATCTTATTTAGGGAATATGCCTATGTTTAATTAGTTCCATTTATGTAATTTACTCAAGAAAATTCAACCTATGATCAATGGACTATCATTTATGTTTAGCTACGTGCCTCTCTTCTTGCTCCCCTCTCACTAGCTATCCAGAATCTCGTTCATCTATGTTCAACCACTACTGATATTTAAACTCAATTTCATCAAAGGTATAATTCTTTATCCCGTACTCACATCTCATAACTCAATAAATAACTTCAAAG